GCATTTTATTTACTGTTTATTTCTCCTTCGTTATTTTCTTTTCAGTTTGAGGGGGGCATGGACCCGGTCCATTACAGGGGGTCCATGGGCCCGGTCCAAAGAAGTGGTCCATGGACCCGGTCCAAAATGGGGAGTCCATGTTTTGTCCTCACTTCCTGAGGGTCAAGGGTTTTAACCCCAATTCCTAGAAAAATTGGAAGTCCTTTCTCAGAAGCTAGGCATAGTCAAAACATGTCAAACAATGCCTCATGATTGGTTCGTGTTGTCTGTTGCCTGAGGGGCGAAGGGGCAATTAACATAAAATAACCTCGCCGAAAATATGATTTCAATCCCTGACTATATACAACACTTCGGTGCGCATTCATTCAAACCTTGTTAATTCTCTTTACCAGCTTTGCAAATTCGGTTATGGATTTATAAACCTTATTACACAACCTACATGAAGAAGTATCCTGTTCTGTGTGTATGAGCCCGTTCACTGATCCAAAAATATTGCCGTGCTTTCATACATTTTGCCTTCATTGTTTAAACGAGCTTCAAAGAACGAGTGGCAAACATGGCGAGATTACATGCCCGGAATGTCGTAGAAAGTTTCAGGTTCCCGGGAGCGGTTATCCTCAAAATTTGCCGGCCAACTTTCGAATGAACAGTTTGTTGGATGTAATGGCTATTCAAAAATGTAACGTTGCTGGAGTGAAGTGTGGAAACTGCGAAAAAACAAGCTCTCAAAGTTTCTATTGCTTTAAGTGTTGCGCCTTCTGGTGCGACGATTGCATTACAGCTCATAACATTATCCGAGCCAACAAAGACCACAAAGTGCTGGCGATTAAGGATTTTCAAGATCAAGACATGGAAAACGTGTTAAGGAGCCCAGTATTTTGCCAAAAGGAACATCATGAAAACAAAAAGCTAAAGTTCTTTTGCAAGGACTGTGAAGTCGCCATTTGTAACACTTGTGTTGTAACACTTCACGAAGGTCACGTCAAAGTGCCTTTGCAAGATGCTGCCAATGAACGAAAATTACGTTTGGAGTCCTTGTTAGAGTCTCAGAAGGTGAAGGCGCTTCGGAAAAGAAATGTGATAACTAGACTACAAAGTGAGTGCAATGAAATTAAAGAACAGGTTGCTTGCGTGAAAAAAAGCGCACAGAATTTGGTTGACAATTTAATGAGAGTCATTGAAGCGAAAAAACAGGAGATTTTTCAAGAGGTGGAATTCAAAGCTCGACAGTCCATCGAGCGTCTTGTAGAGCAACAGTCGGACGTAGAAAACGAATTACAGCTGATTGAGACATCAATTAAAAAAGCTGAAACTTTCTTAAAGCGAAGCACCAATGCTGAGATTGTGCACTTTAACACATTATTTCAAGAGGAAGTCACTGACAAGACAGAACTAGTCGACAGTGACCGTAAGGATCTTGGCCACTTTGTGTTCTTTGCAAACAAATCATTGACGGCTAAAGCAAACAGTGAAGGTGTTGGTTCTTTGAAACAAATCATCAGCCAGACTAAATCCGGCAACTCAAAAGCGAAAGGAGAAGGAATCATTGACGTGACTGTTGGACTTGAAGCACAGTTTGTTTTAAAAACACGAAATACTGACAATGAAAAATGCTACGAACAGTGTGATATCGTTACAGTGGAAATCAGAAATGATGACGGCCGTGAATGCGCCACTGAAGCACAAGTCCAAGATAACAAAGATGGCAGCTACAATATCAGCTACTTTGCCAAAGAAGCAGGAACGTGCCAGACATCAGTGATGGTAAATGGAGAACATGTTAGTGGCAGTCCATTCACAGTTCAAGTTAAACCCAGAAAATACAAACCTGTGTTGTCATTTGGAGGAGAAGGCTCATCTGCTGGAATGTTTGATGGACCTTGGGGTGTGGCGGTGAACGAACATAATGAAATTGCTGTAACTGATCGTGATAACAACCGGGTTCAGATATTTAGCAGTGATGGAACTTACTTAAGGTCTTTTGGTAGTAAGGGTGACCAAGAGGGAGAGTTTGATGACCCTACTGGTATAGCTTATTTAAATAATGAAAACATTGTAGTAGCTGATAGTGGTAACCACCGACTGCAAATATTCACTGAGCAGGGTGAGTACCTTACCCAAATTGGCGGTGAACGAAATCTTGATCATCAGTTTGATTATCCATGTGGTTTATCTGTAGACTGTGATGGTAATATTATTGTTGCTGATTCAAATAACACACTAATCAAGATCTTCACTCCAAGCGGCCAGTTCATTAGAAAGTTTGGTGGAGAAGATTTATTAGTTCATCCGATTCACTGTATTCAGAAGGATCAATATTTCATAGTATCAGACTACGATGTTCAGAGTATCATTAAAGTGTTTAATACAGAAGGTTATTTTCTGTATAAATTCGGGAATAAAGGGGAGGGGGATGGGGAATTCAAAAAGCCCCATTACTTGTCAGTTGACAAAGCAGAACACCTAATGGTCTGTGATTTTGTAAATAACAGAGTTCAGGTGTTGGAATTGAATGGAAAGTTCATAACAAAGTTTAAACTAATGAGTGGGGGATTACCAGTCTCTACCGCACTTCTGTCTGATGGTACTATAGTAGTGTCTGATTATAGGGACGATTACATTCAGATAATTGAATAAATACATTTGATGCAAAATTAATAAAATAGCATAGGACAGGTTGGTTATTCAACTCCCTGCAATTGAAAAAAATATTTGGTAAATTTATTATTGTCTTGTTTTTCTGCGTAGCTTTTTCTATGTAACAACCTTTTGCAATGCGCGCCGGTAATTGTGGTCGTGCCCTTTCCAAAAGTACTCAAGGTTTTAGGCTGTGAATCGAGCTACTGTAGTTTTAATCTTCTTTGAGCAAACAATTAAATATCGATGTAACCTGTAGTTTGGTACATACTTTATTTCACCCTATTTTTTATCGGTAATAAAACCCTCCATACGATATTATTTACACACTTGACATGTTCTTCGTGAGATTATTTGCTAGTTTATGAGAGATATGAGAGATAGAATGCGAGAAGTCGCCGCGAGAAGTCTCTTATTTTTCTCTAAAGATGGTCTAATATCGTGCTCACGGCCAGGCAAGCAATGAGCGTCAAGGCCCCGAGAGGTGAAAAACGAGAGCTTCATAACAAGCTGGCGTAACGGGAAAATCCATTTGATGGATGCCACCCTACGAAAAAAATAAGACTGCTGGTATATCTGCTAAAGAGCATAATCCGTCTACAACAACACTTGACTGCATTTCGTGATGAGAAACAAGTTCTGGTGTTTGTGTAACAAACTTTCCTGGATTTCCGAATTTGTTTATTCAACATCGATATTTGTTATAGTTAATTTTTTATCTCAGGTAATTTTTGTTTCTCTTTTGTTTTTCGGTATGGTAATGTATGCTAAGGAAGTTGAAACAAAAGAAAAATAAAAATTACCTGAGATAAAAAATTAACTACAACATATACAAATTGATTTTCACTTGACACCTGTATGCGGAACATGCTGAATCTGATTCTAGCGAGGCTACTGATGATAGCGTTACTAACCCTCCTTTTAGGGATAAGGCGAGTAAACAAATGAGAGATGGGGGCCAAAGGAAAACGAAAGACTTGGCCTGACGAAGATCCTTTCAACTAAGGAGATTTTAAAAACACAACAGTCGAGCGTTGATTCACATCCATGCACCTCGGGATTATTGAGTCTACCTTATGGCTGATTCAACGATAAAAAACGAGTCAAGTATTTCATGAAGGATTAAATGCATTTTTCTCTCAGCAGTAGCTCATCTTATCTTACTTTGCGATTAGGTTCGTGTGTTGGGAGTTTTGTGCTGCATATCTCTCGTTGTCTTTTATGCGAGGAATAGCATAGCTACAGTGTAGGAGTTACAACCAGGTGTGGGGGTGGCGGGGAGGGGGAAGAGAGGTTAGATACTGCTCGCGCAAAACTTTTCTACTACGCCGCAGACTCAAAATTCTATTATCATACTGTCATCATTTCTTCATAAGGTAATATTTTCAACCCCCGCTGACAAATGCGCGCTAAACGTTCTACCGCTTCTTTGTTCCTGGGAAACGCTATTCCTAAGCATGTCTCCAATCCCTCCAAGAAAGTATCTGTAGCGCAAAAGCGCTTGATAAATTACTATTAACTCGAGAGAAATTCTACCTCGGCCCCAAGGACCACTTCAGACGCCGTAAAAAAGGCTGCCATCTTTTTGGCGTTAAAGCACAGAATTTCATTTGAGGTTGACGTTAGTCGTCAACCTTTTACGTCCAACGCTAGGTTTTATGCAGCTCAGGCCCCTGACGTTCTTCAAGAAACCAAAAGAAGTGAACACAATTCCCCCCTTAGAGGCACTTTGCTCGCCACGTGATAGACTGTCACAAAAGGCGTCATTTTAATAGATTGCGTAGTAGGTGGCATCTAGAGTCTATGCAGTCTATCTAGAGTGCGGGAAAGCTTTTCGGTGAAACCCTCGAGGAAAAATCAGGCCGCGGCTATCTGAACTTGACCGTTTTCCCCATTCTTCCCGCGGCTCTGCCTTCAACACAAAAGCGCTTTTACGAAAAAAACGCACATGCGCAATAATGAAACAGGATTTGTAGCGGCGAACGGCGGCACACCTTGACATCCATCACGATAAAGCAACAACTTAAACGTTTAATCATACACGAGGCGTCCCTGAGTGATTGACAAGTGCCCCACAAAATGACCATCCCATGTATCGATAAGAATTACAGTGAAAGAATTCGATTAACGCGAGGAAAAACCTTAACAAAACGGGTTAACAAAAAACTTGAGATTATTTTACGCTGGCATGCATCGTGCATGCCAATCACGAGGCTTCCGTGCGCATGTTAACAAAGGAAAACCCGCTGGCATCAAAAGACCAGCAGTTACAGGTAATGATCGTTCACGAACATTGCAATTAAATAATTTATTGTTGAACTAGTCTTTATTCTATTGAACCAGTCCCAGTGGAATAATTTAATTCATGTCACTACAGTTCCCCTATAAAGGACAACACCGGCTTTCGAGTCGATCAAAGCCGGCCACACGTGATACTTTATTCCAAGAGACGTCATGTCAGACGTCATGAACCGTCCTTGAAGTTTCTCTGAGAACTCTGTGGCTTCGTATTCAATGCTCATTGGTGGAACTTGGACTGCCAGCATCCATGACAAGCGAACGCATTCATCCATGTATTCTTTAAACTTCACACAGTTTTGTAATTCTGGAAAATCGTACAAGGTGCTCCATAACTGTTTGCTTACATCCTTTAAAGCCAAAAAGAAAAGAAATGTTAAAAATCTCCTTATGAAGTTATTCGCCGCCTTTTTACGCATGCACGAAATGATGGGGTTAAAGGAATGTCACGTGTTCTCTCGGAAAGAAAACAGCTGATTGAACCAGCGTGTCCCGCTGTCGAAACTTTTTATTCCGTCCACATAGAAATACAACTCTTCTAAGTCAGACAAAATGTATAGATTGAGTTTATATCTTCAAGATTTCAGTCATTATTGCTTGGGTTTGTCTCCGTCGACTTTGTTTTAAATAGCACAAAACAATCTACATCTTAAGAGCGAGCTTGAATAATCAATTGCTTAAGGATGCTTTCACAGCTATTTGGAAAGGATTAATTGTTTGCCTTCACCCTCAACAAATTAACCATAATAATCATCAACTTTTTCGGCATTCATTAAAATATTCACTTAAGCTCTCAACGCACTTGTTTGATACTGTCAATTTTAAATCGTGCGCCTGTTATCGTTAAATAGTCGGCAATGCGGTCTTGCATTTCCTGCGCGTGCGCTGCTATATTGTCGTCATCCGGGATATCTAGGATTTTGAGCTTAGTTTGCTTTTCTGTCATTGAGTGTTGTACCGTGCGGTATGCCACTTACCGGAATCGACACAAACACTTTTAATATCCTTGGCTCGAATTAAAGGCGTTGTTTCTAAAGAGACCCCACAGAGTATGATGGGATACATGCTCTTACCCATGGAGATTGAGGAATAGTTCTGTGCATGCGGAGGGCCACGGCGACCTCTACTACGGCGGCCGAAAGTGAAAAAGCCCAAAACTGACGCAGTGCGCATGCACAATGACTTCACCGTAGCACCAAATCCTTCAACGTGAAGACCTGTCTTCATGGCGTAGTCGCTGCTACGTGATTATAAAAGTCGACTTTTCTCCTATTTTTTTTTTTACAATCATTGGCTTTAAAACCCATCATAGATTGTTTTTCACTTTAGCAAAGAAAGTATTTGACACTTCTAGTTTTCCAGGAATTACGTATTCCCTTTGTTTTCTCTTTTTAAAATTTCTTTTCGTCAACCGAGGTCAAATGCTGTGTACAACTCGTACGTAAAATCCAAGTTTTGAGGCTTGCACGAATCATACAGCAACAAACACTCCTCGTCACTGTTAATCTTTGATCGTAAGAGAGAAAAATGTTATCTCTTGCTTCCCTAAAGGAGGTCAACTCGACTTACTGACAGGGAAAGCAAGTGAGCGGGAAACGCCGCAGTCACTGTTTCGACTCCGCTTGCTTAAAGTTGAAATTTGGTCGGCTATAGCCTGCGTAGCAAGAGCTTTCGTGAGGTTTCGGAGCAAAGAAAGACCGAGGAACGACTAGTAACGGGATTTTCGGTTTTGGCCAAGCAAAAAATGGAACGAACTTCAAAACCGCACGGAAACGCTTGCAACGCAGGCTAACGTATTCTCCCCTGGACTCTTGATCCACGACCGCCGTAGTATAGGTCACGTGGTCACCGTAGCGATTTTTTTTAAAGTTTCAAATGTCTCTTGGCCGACCGAGAAGCGTATGTGACTCTTAGCTGCGGTACACTAATCATTTGTCATACCAATCGCTCGTCCTCACAAAAACTTGCTTATTCCCGGAGAAATTTCCCCAAGCAGACTCTCCAGGGGTTCTCATTGGCCTTTTTACTCATTTTAAGTTGATTATAACAACTTTTTTGAACGAATCACAACTGCAAATGCAAATGAAGAATATGATACTTACCACCAAAACTGAGAACAATATTTTGTTTTTGATGTCTCCACTGTCTTCCACTTTGTCTAGAGATTCCAACTCATCAAGCTCGTCCATAGCATCTAGCCTCGTCTGGGTGTAGAGGTTGTCATAGCGTTCTACCAGAGCGGACGGCCGACACTCACCTGCCGACAGATCCTCAAATTTCCCGCCTTTTTTCAACTGTCTCTGCGCCTGGTCCTGTAACCTTAAATAGAATAGACAAAGATGTTCTTACTGAGTTTCCTCCATGACTGTAATATCCAGTGAGTTTACAGGCTTCCTTCTCTTACCTCTTAGTCAAATTTTTCTCTCTTTTGGAGTTGAACAATTTCCTGTGCTACTTCAAGCTCATTTTGTTCATTCTGTAGTTGTTTTTAAGGTCGCCATTTATATCTTTTTGCTGTTGGGTTCTTTCTGTCCCATTAACACCTGGACTCAGCTGTTTACTTTGTGTTGCCTTCACTCTTTCCACCTGCTAAGTCCCGCTTGACCTAAGTGCGGAGAATTCTTAAAGGCAAATGAATAAAACCGACAGTCGTGAACCTTTATTTCATTTATTTCTAAAATAAAATTGTTAATTTAGTCAAATGTTTCGACCAATCGAGTTGTCGTTTGTTATTTAGTGTTGGGTTATGTAGAGGAATATTTTTACTTTAAGTACCAAAAGAACGAGGCTGTAACAGTTCAGTAACAACCCGGATATAAAAACCCCTGATTCGGGACTGACTGAGTCCAGTGAACTCTCGCCTTGATGACACCCCGCTATAACGGACACCATAATAATACGGACAGCAGCTAAATCCCAGGGAAAACTAAATAGCCGACGTTTGATTGATATAAACTCTTGCTATTACGGACTCTCGCTAATGAGGACATTAATTCAAGGTCCCTACAGTGTCTGCTAATAAAGGGAGTTGAATGTACGTTGAAATGTTTTGCTTTATTAGTATGGAGAGTGGTTCTTATGAATCGTAGAGGGCTATTAGTTCATCAATATACTGTAAACTGGCTGATGTATTTTCTTTAGAAAATGTTTACTTTATCATCATCATCATCATCATCATGTATGTTGCGCTTTTTTACCCCTATTTATTTGGCGAAAGTTCAGTCTAGAGGGTTTTCCTGATTCGTAGTTTCATTTCTATAGGGTTTGTTACTGAGCGTGAAGGAATTCCCTGTTCTCCTTTAGTTTTACTAGTGCGCACGGTTAATTCGTTACGGGTGACTTTTCGGATACTTTACTTGAAATACCTAACTATGAAAGCCTTGTAAACGTCTAAAACAAAGCAGGCAACCTTAACAGCTGAGCCGGGCCCTTAGCTATGATAACACCTTACTTGTTTCATCGTCCAGTTGCGTAACAGTATCGAACACATCCGAACCATCTTCGCTGACGTCACCAAACTCCGAATCACTAGCCAAGGTGCGAGTGATGGTGGGTACCTTCGGTGTAGCCACACCCTTTAGAGACTCTTCTAGCAGTTGTAATACCAGGCGGTACCCGTAATGAAACCTTTCAAGTAATTGTAGGTAACAATTGATGATGACTATTTTTTGATCAAAATGCCTTGGATTATGTGATTAAGTTCGCGCTTTATCTTACTTCTAGTAGAACGAAAGTGAGATTCAAAATCGCTTTCCGGTAATCTCTGGTCACAGGAGCTACGAGTCTCATTTCCATGCAATTTTATGATCATATATCTCATCAAACCGCATCCTCGGAGACCCAGGGGCAGTCAGTCGGGCGAGGAGAAAAGGCGCGACAAAAGTTTTCAAGCACGGGCGGAAGAGCCCCTGGGTACCTACTCTCACCGGACCATTTCCATACGGTCAAGCGAATACTGGCTCCTGATTGGGCACAAAAAATGCTTTGTATATTGTGCCCAATCGGCGAACAGCATCTCCTTATTCTTTTCGTGAGTTCGTACATGACGGCTATTGACTCGATCACGGCTTGTCTGGTTCATGCACCAAAGAAATGCCCGCAGTCAGGAAACTTTTAGTTTGATATAAACTCTCCATTTCAAAATACTGTCCATCCGAAAACTAAAGACGCTTTTCCGAAAATACAAGCTTGAGCTTACAACAGGTATTCACGCTTGCATAGGCACGTCTTCGTAAATATTAGGGAGTTTAAGATGCCACGACAACTGACAGCCACGAAAACGTCGCATAAAATATGAATTCACATTTTTCAGTCTCTATCGTGATTATTCCAACTCGCTTACTTTGTTAAATGCAAGCGAACTCTTCTGGAGCTGAATTTCTATCAACCATATCCAAGTTCATAAAGAGAAAGAAAATTTTGTCACTCATTGCTTGTTTACGTCCTTAACAAAACGTGAAACTAGGCATTTTCACGTGGTAGTCCTGCAGTGACGGCAAAGAAATGTAAAAGCGTGATGCACGTGCAAAGTTGTTGTTTTGCTTTGTCAAGCTGTTGCTGTTTTTGATTTTTTGTCGCCGTCGCATCTTAAACTTCCTATTATTTACGATACATTGTGATCCCTCAGAAAATGAATTTTCTCAGTGCAAATTGAATTGCTCCTGTTGATAGCGTCCGAAACGTCGACTCATCGGTAGTTCCTTTGTCTGGTTAGGAAAGCTTGGTGAACGAACCGGGCAACTGTGGCGAGATAATAGCCGTCTTGTACGAACTCACGAAAAGGACTCAGGTGAAATTGTTCGCCGATTGGGCACAATAATACAAAGCATTTTTTGTGCCCAATCAGGAGCCAGTATTCGCTTGACCGTATGGAAATGGTCCGGTGAGAGTAGGTACCCAGGGGCTCTTCCGCCCGTGCTTGAAAACTTTCGTCGTGCCTTTTCTCCTCGCCCGACTGACTGCCCCTGGGTCTCCGAGGATGATCAAACCGTTGACAGCTGAGATTTGATCGTACGTGACTCTTCGTCTGCGATGCATGAAAAAAGATTTACTTAGAAAGGAAAGTGCTATTAAAAATTGTCACAAATTCTTTTCCAAAAAAGTATATTTCAAGTTTCAAGTATATAAAAAGGACAGAAGTCAGCTTAGAAGTATACACTCTGTATGTTTTTGGAAGTCAACAGGATAGAAAGAATTTCTTGTCCGCGACACTTGTATTATTGTACCAGGTCAAACTAAATATTGCCAGGCAAAACGGCTATGCTTAACAAAACATCATTCTGCTGCATTTTTTTAGCAAATAAACCGCTCCGCGAACTAGGAATTAGAAAAAAAAAAAAGAAAAACCTTTTGCACGCAGGGTACTATCCATGAGAATGCAGAACTGAGCCCAGCAAGACAAAGCACAGCAGGAAATCATCGCATTCATTCAAAGTACGACCTTTAGTAGGAAAAATTGAAACAAACCTTCTTCCTCGAGCAACGTTGATTCAGTTGTCGGATGTTCGCTTAAATTATTTCAAAGTTTCGCTAGAGATTGCTTAGCCACACTTCCAAAAGGAAATATGAAAGCCAAGATCTCCGAATTACAACCCAGGGTTATAGTGTTTGTTATGAACAATCAAGTTCACTGTTACTGTGTTAATTCCCGGCGGACGTGGGAGTAACCAATCGGCGACCCAGTTCAGATTCTGAACTGATTTCTCGCATGGAAATGAGGGAGCCTTACCGTAAGCACGGTTTATTTCAGTATTATATATTTTGAGAACGGACCTCTGGAACCAGAGTAAAGAAGTTACCAACATGGCGCAAAGAATAAACCAAACTCGACCAAACGTTGAAGAAGTACGTAGCAGCACTAGCATGCGCGTCTTATTCACCAATCTGCATTATGGCCTTTTACCTAGTCGCGGCTTTTTTCAGGTCAGCGGTGCCCTAGAAGGTACTGCAACAACCGCTAAAGGAAGAGATCGATTGTGAGTTTCTCTCTTGTGGCCTGTCGATGGAGCAGTTCACCTGTCATAGATTTTCGCTATAGAATTGGTATGGACTCCATTTCTTGTGGTCTATATGAAGCGGAAACAATGGCACAGATAGTAAAGAACTTGTGAAGGACGTTTTTGTTGTTGAACATTGTTTTTGTCTCTTAGCTTGAACCAAGAGACTATGAAGGGGACAGAGAGGGCATCCCCCATATACACCCTATTCCATAGGTACTTCGTCTCGAGTTATTTTTAGAATCGGGATAAAGTTACCTCGCGCGAGGCGTGGATGTTTCGTGGAGGTTTCGCATGACCAAACGCCGTGCAAAACATGTCGGGCGAGAGGCAATGAAAGCGTAAAAAGATCGAGAGCATTCCTGAATATTGAAGCGAAATGAGTCGGCGCTCACCTGGGAAAAAGGAATCGCTGGACTCTTTGACAACCCGTGAAATCAGTTTAACTCGAAGTTGTCGTAACCTCAGTGCTTTAATAAAATGAGAAATTTCGCCGGTCTATTGAAACCGGTCGTTTGTACAATTTAGGGAGTTTAAGATCCAACGACGCGGACGACAACTAGAACGTCAAAAAAACAATAGGTTTAATTAGCAAAACAACAACTTCGCACGTGCAACACACTTTTTTGTTCATTTCTTTCCCGTTTTTGCACGACTACGACGTGAAAATGCCTAATTTCGCGTTTTATGGAGGACGTAAATAAGCAACGACGAAATTTTATTTCTCTTTCTATGCTTGAATATGGTCCCTTGAAATTCAGCTTTAGGAGGGTTCGCCTACAATTGACAAAGTAAGTGGGTAGGAATAATCGCTATAAAGACTGAAAAAAATAAACATCAAACCAGAAATTGCTCTCTTCAAACTGTAAATTATAAATGATCCTGAGAGAATATTCAGGGTGTTAAGGATTTCCCTGCTCTACTGTTAGCTCTATACAAGAGAGGAAGGGCGATTCTTTTTTAATTTCGGTTTTGCTGACACAGCTTTCGCAGAAATCTCGCTGTAGTCGTTTTTGTCGACAAAAGGAATAGCAAAATCGCTCTCCGCGTCTTCCCCCATTTTGTTCTGCGTCTTTTCGTGAAGGACGCGTGGCTCTCAGCGTGGGTCATCCACGTGGAACACATTCGCGCTATGTGATTGGCTGTTGTCTAATCCCCCTTGATATCTGTGGTGTTAAAAATAACTCGAGACAAATTACCTATGGAATAGGGTGTATATGGGGGATGCCCTCTCTGTCCCCTTTATAGTCTCTTGCTTGAACATAACCTGGTTCTTGCAGATATAGAAGGTGAATTCTCTACAGTTAAGCGCTGAATTGGAA